ACTAATACATATATGTAATATAATAGTAAATATATATATATATATATATATAGATATATTATAACTTAATTAACATATATATGTATTAAATAATAATGATAATTAAATAGAATATATTATTAATCGATTTGATGTTTTAGAAATGCACAATTTTCAAGTAATCAACACCCCTTATTAAGGGGGTGCCATTAGCACTCCCCTCTAACTAATAAAATAAATGGTTATACACCATTTTCATTATTCTTTATTTATTTTTCAGATTCAATATGAATCACATATAACACCTTAGTTTTTTTATTTAATAAATCTCAATATTTAAGCTTTAAATGCAAATATTTATGAGTAATTCAAGTACCCAGCATCTGTTATATTTAGTGAAACATTTTATTTATAAGACTAAACAAGCTAGTGATAAAGTGTTAAGGCTAGAAATGTGTTGGCAAGTCTAGTAAGCATGACTAATCAATCTAGTGATGAGTTGTTTGGGCTAAAAAAATATGAGTTGACAAGACTTTTGATTACAAGACAAGTCTAGAAAGCATGACAAAGAGTACTAGAAGCATGAGTTGTTTAGATTATCTTATCCTTAAAGAAGAGTTGTCTAGATTCTCTTATCCTTAGATGAGTTGTCTAGATTCTTTTATCCTTATTGTCTATATTCTCTTATCCTTAACAAATGAGTTGTTAAGATTCTTTCATATTTATAGATGAGATGTTAAACTCTCATGAAAATATAATCTTGAGAGCAAAAAGAACAAGTAGTTAATGCAATGAATTTATCTACAAATAGGGATTGAGAGGTCACTATTTGTGGATACTAAAAATAAAAAATCTTTCTATATATACATAATTAAGCTTGAAGAAAGGAATCAAAGGAAAAAGTAGGTAAAATCAAAGTGAGTACTTATGTGATTTATGAGATACATGCATGTTATATATAAAGTATTTTATGCATTACAAGTTATGTTGACATGCTTGTTTTATATGAAAACAATGATATACATATTCAAGATATGCATGATGATGAAAAATCATTTACATGTTATCATATGTGTTTCACAAGGCATGAAAATTATTACATGTCATGTATAACCATAATATCAAGCGTCCGGAATATTACAAGAAGGGACGTCTTGCAAACGAACCTTATAGGGCAACCTTTTATGGATCTGGGGGTTAGCAAACCTCAAGACAAGTATGGTATATATGCATGTGACAAGTGAGATTTCAAAAGAATGTTTTATGCATGATAAAGAATAATATTTTATGAATGTTTATGAATGATAAGAATGTTTTTATACATGATCAAGGGCTTTAATGAATTATCATTCACAAAATATCATGAAAATTTCTCATTCATGAAACCATAAATACTAAATACTCACTAAGCTTATAGCTTATATATCTCATGTATGTATCTCAGGAATGAAGTAAGAATGATATGCATAAAGTAGTATGGTGTTAATCAATAAGCAAGTTTTGTTGTAATACAAGCTATAATTACGTTTCCGTTAAGAAATTTATTCTTTGATGAAATTTTAAGATATGTTACAAATAAAGTTGAATTTCAAGTTCAGATTCAAGATTTGGTAGTTTTATCATGTAAAATAACGACAGCCAATATAAAAAAGACGTGGGACGTTACATCACAAAAGAAACTAATAATTATTTATTTTCCAGATTCAAATATCAATCACAACATCACTAACAAACACTTGCGATTGTCATATGAAACTAAAAAATATATAATGGTTTAATAGAAATGGTGTATTTTTTTTATTTTGTTCTACTTGACTACTGATTTATTAATATATAAAAAGATATGTAATATATTATTTCGTTATATAAATGTAAAAAATTATTCATATCAAAAAATTTCAAAAACTTAAATTACCTATTAAAATTTATTTATTAAGGGGTCGTTTATTAAATGCTTACCCGGTAAGTACTTACAAGATAATTTTCCTCACCAAATGAACATGACAAGGGTCAAGAATGTTATCCGGTAAGAACGATGATAAGGATGGAGGGTTTTACCCGGTAAGTGAGGGTGACGGCTCTTACCCGGGTAAGCGTTTACCAGACAAATTGTTGCATGAAATACATATTGATGTACTACAATCTTACTCAAACAACAAGCACTTAACGGGTAAGCATTTAGGTAAACAACTCCTAAATTCAAAGATTTACATGCAATAATTTTAATGATTTATTCGTTTAAATTTTTTGCAAAAACTTGATCAGTAAATTAGGTTTTTTTGAATATTCTTGAAATTAAATTATATTATTGTTTTTAAGTCGAAACAAGTGATAATGAACGTTAAATTGCCGTTATCAGCAAAGGCCGTTGGCTGGATCCTGGATCCTCCCTCCGCTTTGGCATTCTCCGCCAATCTCTCTCTTACCCAGGCCAGGTGGCCCTTTAAGAACTAGGGTTTCTGGTTTTCTTCAGATTCCTACGGTTTTTTCAATGCGAATTTAACTTCAATAACCGGATTCCGTTGCCATCTTTACTCCGAAGCTGTTTTTAATTTGTAACCAGACGTGATTAGTTGCTGCTGGGGATTGGGGTGTCTGCAGACTTGTTTGATACACAATCATCCATCAACTCTGTGTTTTATGGCTCTACTTCACTCATCTGCTCTCTGTTTCGGTGCCATTTCGTTAAATTTTCGACCGTCTTCTTGGACGAATCGGTTGTCAAGTTCAGCGGATTCGAGACTGTCTAGTACTGTGAAAGCTTCCGGCTTGACATTAACGCCATTGACTCATCCGTCGTCTCGGTTTTCTTCTCCACCTTGCACACGCCCAGGTACGATTGATCTTTCCTTTGACTATGTTATTTCGGATGTACTAGTGGCTAATGGCACTACTAATTACTCCATCCATAACTACAGTGTAGCTATTATGGATTTCAAGCGGGTTGTCCTTTGATATTGTTAAAAGTTACGAAGTTTCTGCAAAATCAACCGTAATCTGTTCTCTTTGTGCTACTTCTTGTAATGTTTAATGTGGTTAGAAATTTTCGCTCAGACAGTTTAAAATCTGTATGAATTTTTCGTTTGGATTGTTAGGCTTGACTTAGATGAGTCAATCTCCTTTTTTTCTGGGGAGCAGAGGAGGTTAATTCAAATTCCGAAGAAGATGTTGTAGTTTGCATGGTTGACAGCCGCAATGGAAGAAATTTTCTCTCCAGTCAAATGCTTGAAAAGGGAAATGAACTCATATAACGTCTTTAGCCATGATTAAGCATCAATGTTGTCTCTTAATTAGTGTTGTCTCTGTTTTGTTACGGAACTGAAACATTAATTTTATAAGCGACAACTTGAATCGATGGAATCTATTATTTTTTTATTAAGAGTTGGTGCAGAAAAGTGAAAAGTGATGACCGATGATCATTTAAAAGGAATAGGTGAGAAAGGAGTTTAGCTGTTCAGGCTTCAAGAAATGTTCCATCATTCTTTCTAATTTTAGTTCTTATGTATGTTTCTAGTTGTGATTTTTTGTGTAATTTCTTTCAGGAAGAGTGCAGTCAAGTATTCAGGAATCACCTGAAACTGATGAATCCTCTCTTGTGGTCTGCTTTGGCGAAATGCTAATAGATTTTGTCCCTACAATAAGTGGACTTGCGTTAGCTGAATCCCCTGCCTTTAAAAAGGCACCTGGTGGTGCACCTGCGAATGTTGCTGTGGGTATTGCCCGCCTTGGAGGTTCGTCTGCTTTCATTGGGAAGGTATTCCACTATGTTCATTTGACTTTCCAGACGTTGATAAAGAACAACGAATCTGCATAGGTTGAAACAAAATTAGTAGTAACTAACAAGTCCTTGAAATAATGATAAACGATGGGAACAATCGACATCTCAAGATACTCCATTCAAATGTATTAAGTTGATTAGGAAAACGAAATAGAAAGAGAAACAAACCCATGTCTCAGCTGTCTTTATGAATGAGGAAGTTTGATGAACTCATAGTAAGCTTTTAAATCTGATCCATTGAAACATGGAAATTGTTCAGACACCAAACCTTCAAAGTAAAACCTAGAGACGCTATGGTGATTTATTTCAAAATAAACATGATCAAAACAAGTCCATATATGATCCCATCAAAACCTATTTCCCCTGTGTAACCTTGTCTACTTTGTTGCTTTAATCTTCACATGAAGGTGTGAAATACAATATCCACTGGTTAAATATGGTACAAAGTTTCATTAGTTTTCCATTCCTGTGATTTTTATAGTTACAGGAAAAAGAAAATATTCATTATGTAGAAGAGTGCATTGGATGTTTAAAGTCAAGAGTTGTCTTGAGATTAAAAAGAATAAAAAAGCTACTCTCAAACGTTTTCTAGTTGACTGATTTCATATGATTTACTTTGCAGGTTGGAGAAGATGAGTTTGGTTACATGCTTGCTGAAATTCTAAAAGAAAACAATGTGAATAATGAAGGAATGCGCTTTGATCCTGGTGCTCGTACTGCTTTAGCTTTTGTGACACTTAAAAAGGATGGCGAACGTGAATTCATGTTTTATCGCAATCCTAGTGCTGATATGCTTCTAGAAGAATCTGAACTTGATCTAGATTTAATAAGAAAGGTATGTGTGAATATGTAAATCTCCTAATACTCGAGTTAACCAAGAACAAAGTAGCAAGAAGAAGATAATGTCTTAAAAAGAACAAATGAGATGTAGACAAGTGAAAACCCAGCATATAAATTCAAGAAAATTCACTTTCAGAGGCTTGATAATACCACGGAATTGTACAGACACATGTAGATAGATACATATGTGTTTATATGCAAGAATGTGGTTATGGAAATCAGCATTCTTTGTTGAACTTCCGTTCATTTTAGATTGATGCTCAATACATACATGTATATGATCCCTCTGTGGCATACATTTTTTTCTAATATTTGGTTGGAAAATTTAACATTATATATATATATATATATATATATATATATATATATGAAGGATTAGATCTTTGGGTTTTCTTGGTGAAAAATATATGAGTTTCAGCTGGAGCAGTGAAATTGGTTTGGATCCACCATTTGCATATTAATAATATGAAATAGAAGATTAGGTTCAATAATTTTACAGTTACATCGCACATAGGCATCTAGTATTTAACATAACATGAACTTCCATAGTATGATCAACAAATTTGTTCTTTTATAGATTAGCTAATTTGGTTTACATACATAAATTTTAGCGTTATATTGGCAGGCAAAGATTTTTCATTATGGTTCCATCAGTTTGATCACGGAACCATGCAAATCGGCTCATATTGCTGCCACAAAAGTTGCAAAGGACGCTGGTGTCCTTTTGTCTTATGACCCCAATCTGAGGCTTCCTTTGTGGCCATCTGCAGAGAGTGCCAGGGAAGGAATCTTGAGCATATGGGATACAGCCGATATTATCAAGGTAATTCACATCTTTAACCTTCTGGGGAACTTTTATGCAACTTGTCTAATGGTTTTGATTATTGTTCCTAATCAGATAAGTGAAGAGGAGATTGTTTTTCTGACAAACGGAGCAGATCCATATGATGATGAAGTTGTCCGGAAATTGTACCATCCAAATCTTAAGTTGCTACTTGTGACAGAAGGACCAGATGGTTGCAGATATTACACCAAGGTAATCCCCAAAGTAACATAAATGTATTGGTGGTTTTTTAAGCTATGGTTATGTCTGAAACTTGGATAATTTACCCATATGATGACAGTAATTACTAAGCGTTTATGATTCTAATCTTTTTGTGTATTTCGTTAAATCTATTTGTAGGAGTTTAGTGGAAGAGTGAAAGGCTTGAAGGTGAATCCTGTGGATACAACAGGAGCTGGAGATGCTTTTGTAGCTGGAGTCTTATCAAAACTCGCTGCAGATGTCTCATTGCTGCAGGTATGATGAGTTTGTAGCTGCAGCGTTATCAACACTCGCTCACTTCTAATCACATTTTCGTTCTTTTCTCAACCCGAGACCCAGAAAAGTGAAACAAATGTGCATTATAAAGATCATCATACATAAACTTGACTTTTAAGATTTGATTTGAATAAGGTGATGGTAATTAATTAACTAATATGGGTTTGTAGGATGAGAATCGGCTACGAGAAGCGCTTAGGTTTGCAAATGCTTGTGGTGCGATTACTGTGACGGAGAGAGGTGCGATTCCAGCATTACCGACACGAGAAGCTGTTATGAATGCTCTGATGGAGACTGTTGCATAGTTGTATATTAATCTCATTTTTCCACGAGGGGTAAATCGTGATTTGTGGTATTATCTGATTGATATATACGGATGAAGAATGGCAGTATGAGAGGTGGATAATAAAGTCATTCCTTTGTTGTTTCAAACAAAATGTGGTACTATGCCAATAACTACTCCATGGCTAAATTGGGACCAGTTATGGTGCGATTGGTTATGATCCCTCACATATGATTTTATTTTTCTAAATCACTAGTGTTCGACACCGTGCGTTGCGCTGTGATCAAAACTCAATTTAAGAAAAAAATGTAAAAACATCGACCCAAGCGGAAATTCGATGTGTCTGAAAACTCGGGATCGTATTTATATTTATAACGTCCCGTCCAACACCGTAAATCACGATTTGAAGAATACTAACATCAGATGAAAGCACGTCATTTAATCAACACTTTCATCGTATGTATATATAAGTGATATAATAGATACTTATAAGTACCGCAGTAATCACAACTCTTAGTAAGAAAAAAAAATGTGTCATTTGCATTCGTTTTACACAAAAATTTTACCAATTGGTTGATAGGTTTCAAAGGTCCATCATGCTTTTTTATACACATCCATCACCTTCTTCCAAACTATAATCTTTCTATTAATGTGAGATGATCAAAGTCAACCTTATTTCAGATTTGAAAAACACTCAAACCTCATGTTGTCAAGTCATCATCCTTGGTTTCACTTTTATATTTGCACTATAATTTTTACCATTTGGTTGGTTTTGATTCCAACTATGGTTATAGATTTCAAAGAAGTTCATCTAAAATAAGACAACTCTATCGGGTAAACTCCATGATTTGACACAAAGACATCCAATCCATCTTTCATTTTGTTCAAATCTTTCAACTCTTCATAAACGAGGGACAACTAAAACTCAACCACAATTCACCATTTCAGAATACTAAATTCTCATAGTGTCACCTCGCTAACTCAAGGTTTTCCTTTTATATTAAAGATTTAGACCGGGGTATATTACACAAAATAATTATCAAACCAAGATATATTGTATTTTCATATGTAAATCAGGTGCCTAAATATTTGAGATGTCAAAATTACGGTACCAAAATAAATGTTATAAAAGTATGTTATACAAAATAAAAAACAAAACAGAGTATATTATATTTTCATACAGTATGTTCAGCTATGTCCCGTCAAGTCCTGTCCAATTATGTCTGCGTAGCTAAATGAATTTTATGAACCAAAATAAAGTAAAACTTTATAAATAAATAAAAAATTGTTCCATTTATCGTATAATAGATTTGTTGTATTTATTTTAATACAAAAACAATAATTCTTAAAAGATAAATCTTTTGAGAAACAAATTTCAAATGTCTAAAGACCATGTTCAACCCCTTCTTGTCGGACAATCCGATGATGCATTCTCTCTTTAGGGTCCGAAATGGAAGGCCAACCACAATATTGCCGTTCACAATAATTTTATAAATCCATTTCATACTTGATCTTTTAACGAAAAAGCAGAAGTCTCGATAACTATCATTAAGAGAAAAACGAAATGGCTGATGAGGATCAAGCGGACCTCGATCGAATCTTTAAGCGATTTGATGCCAATGGAGATGGCAAGATCTCGTCATCGGAGCTTGGAGAAGCTTTGAAAGCACTTGGCTCTGTGTCACCTGAAGAAGTGCAACGTATGATGGCTGAAATCGATACAGATGGAGATGAGTTTATTTCGTATCAAGAGTACATGGATTTTTGTAATGCCAACAGGGGATTAATGAGAGATGTTGCTAAGATCTTCTAAATCATCTCTCAGCCATCTTCTTTGCGATCTAAAAAAGGGTTTTTCTTTTCTTTTAAGTCCGAGTAATTCTCCATGTAATTAATTTATTAAAAAGATGTAGAATATTGCTTAAGAAACAAAAAGGAAAATGTGACCTCTACCATGCCCCTTGTTGATTGTATTCTAGTCATTGTGATTTTAAATGGTCAAGAATCAAGCCATATGATTGTATTTCGAATGATTTGATTAATATGATTTAGTTCAACTTTAACAATCACTACAAAAACGAGGAGTATCAACGACGAATAGGTCAAAAACCAGTTCCCTCGCTAATCCGTCGCTGACCGGCGAGGGATATGGTTTTTAGCTTATCCGTCGTTGATCTGTTGCCTGATTTGGGACAGAAAAACCGTCGTTGATACTATGTTTTCTAGTAGTGAATATTTTCATCATCTTTAATTTATTTTGTTGTTAAAAATAAGTAGAAGCGTGGATCATATATGCAATGACAAGACGGACCTCCTGTTGTCACGATTAATATGATTTAGAAATATAAGAGATACAAAAATCTTTTAGTTAGCGGTGTAAATCTGTTGAAATTCAATTGATTTAGGTGGATCCGATTCAATCATCCAATGGAAGTTTAATTTTGTTATCTGATCCAATCCAACTAACATTAGACATGTATTGTTGGTTATCCATTGGATTGGATTCATCCAATATTTTGATACAATTTTCAACCAAGGATTCATCCAATATTTTGATACAATTTTCAACCAATTAATCAACCGTTTCAACCAAATATTCACATATTTTATTAAAAACCATTATGTATAAATATCAACTAAAAACAATATCATAAAATGTTATATTAGATGGATAATTGGATTGTCATTGAATCGGATTGGTTCGATTTTATTGGATTTTGGATTGTCATTCAAGAACCAACCGGATCCATTTAAATGTCGAAATTTTGAATCTTATCTGATTCAATTATAATTTAAATTGAATTGAATTGAATTACTACTTTTAGTACTATAGCCTATTTTCCAGGACCATTTCATCATAATATTATAGGTTTAGTTAAAGGAAATAATGTTTTAATTAACCATGAAATGAATTTATTTTTGTGTTTTGTTGAAAGATGTTTTAATTATTTAAAAAGGAAAAATGAAAAAATCACAACGCTAGAAGGAGGGGTTGAACCTCCGACCTTGTGGTTAACAGCCACACGCTCTAACCAACTGAGCTATTCCAGCTTTACATTACCATCACTTAATTCTCGTACTAAATCATGAAACACTAAAATGTGTCAATTTTTTAATTAAATGCTAATAGCATCACCAAATCGTAATTTTAATTAAATTTAAAGTGAATTGCGATTTTAGTCCCTGTTGTTTGTTAAAAGTTACAATTTTTGTTCTTGTAGTTTAGATATTACGGTTTTCATCCTTATAGTTTATATCATTGTTATTTTCCGTCCTTATGATTCATAATTTATAGTTGTTTCAGTTTTTATAGTTCACAATTCATTACTATTTTGGTCTCTTGTACTTAAAGATATAAGAAATTTTGGTCTCTTGTACTTAAAGATGTAAGAAATTTTGGTCTCTTGTACTTGAAAATGTAAGAAATAGTACATGGAAGAGTATAGCAATAAATTGCAAACCATAGAAATGAAAATCATAATTTCTAAATCACATAGACGAAAATCACAATTTTTAACAAACTATAGGAACGGAAAACATAATTTGCTCTGAAAACATAAAACATCAATTACAGTCGGTCAAGATGATTACGATTCATTTTGTTAGAATTATCTGTTTCATGACTTTTTTTTTTTTTAGTTTAATGATTTAATTAATATAATTAGGCATATTGTTAATTCTTTAACTATGTAATTGAAATTTTGTGAACGTATAATAGGAATTTTTTTTTATCACAAAAAATAGAACTGAATCCGTTTTGAGCTTACAATGTTCCCTTTTCTAGTGATATAATTTTTTGAATTTTTTAAATAAAATAGGATTTTTAATATTTGACGATTAATTATCAAGTTAAATTATATTTTTAAAATAAAAAAAGTTTAGTAAAGTCACCGGTGGCAATGACTAGGGATGTATATGGTTAGAGCTCGACCTCGCTTATACCTAGATCGAGTCAAGCTTTGTAATGTCAATGTTAGAACCGGCTTGTCTGAAAGCTCGATTAAATTTTTCAATCCATTTTTTCAATTCACGCTATATATCCATAAGAGCATCTCTTGGTTATTCATGAGCTTTTTCAACAAACTAGCCGTTGAAGAAAGCAAAATCCTATTAGGAGAGACTTTTCAAAATTGTGTCCTAATGATTGAGGTCCTGGAATATTTCATCTGCTTAAGGTTCGATTCCAGACGTACATAACAATTGTGGTCACTAAGTTTATCTGGACTGATTTCCTGTGGTCACAATTTCCCGAAATTAATCCAGACATAGCTTAGAACACCCTTAAAAAAACTATTTCAAAAAAAGACATTTAATCATTTCATCAGCTTCAAATACATATGACAGTAAACTTCAACCTTTCCAACAAATATACACTGCCCATGCCCACTATGCTAAAAGCCACCAACTCCATCAAATTACCAAAAATTCACAAGCAAAGGGTTTTTCCAAACACCCAATACTTTTCTATCATAGATGGATGTAGACTCAAAACTTCATCTTCATCCAGAAACATGATGATTATAACCATAATCGAATCCGATGAAAAGCTCAGACCATCTCATGTTGCAGATAAGGAATTAAGGATTACCTTTCAAAACAGGGTTAAGATTACCTACTGAAGCTTACATTTCTTCAAGAGATCATTATAAACAGGTCCCTTACCAGCTTTTGCAAGACTCGGTCTTAATCTTGATAATGTAGCAGAAGTCAACTTGATCCCTCGATCTACCATATCTTCAGCATACTTCACTGCTTCAGGAACAAGATTAAGATCACGTAACCCATCAACCAATAGATTTACAGTTTCCTCGAGCTCCTCTGACTTCTTGTAATTCTCAATCATGCATTTCCAAACTTTTATTGCCATATAAGGGTCCATCCCATCTATGAACACCTTAACTGCTAAACAGCAGTTGGCATGGGTTGGCACAAACTCATTTTTAATCATCTCAACAAATACTGGTCCAGCTTCTTTTACTTTCCTGCTCTTTATCAAAAACTGGAAAAGAAGATTATAACTTTCGGAATCAGGGAACACCCCATTGAAAACCATATCATCTAACCACCTTCTAGCTAGATCAAAATCCTTACGCTTTGAATACAAAGTTATCATCAAATTATACATTTCAGTATCGGGTTTGCAATCATTCTGCACAGCCATTGCAACCCAGAGCACTTCGGCAGCCTTCACATCACCCGTTGACACACACTCGGTTAGTGCAGCTTTGAAAAACCGCATCCCCGGATAACACCTCCTATCCCTCAAAGATTCAAAGAATTTCATAGCCTCCCGCAGCCCATCAGAACCCTTGAGCAACGTGTTTAAAAGAGAGTCGTAAGCTGGATAATTGTTAGGATCCCACCCAATTCCGACTACCATTTCTTCAAAAGTTTTTCTAGCGTTAACCGCATCCTGTTCTGTCTCCCATCCCTCTAACAAAATCGCATACGTATCAGCATCCGGCCTAATTCTAGTCCTAACAACATTCAAGAACTCTTTGGCATCTACAGTCTTCCCATCTCTACATATTGCACTGAGAAAAGAGTTCAAAGCTACGATATCGCATGCACAACCATACTGGTCCATTACTTCAAATGTCATGATGGCCTCCTGCACCCTTTCAGCCATCACATAACTACCAAAAACAGAAGCAAATGTAGCCAAGGAAAGTAACCCTTCTTTCTTCATCGATTTGATCGCATCCCACATTGCATCAAACATACCATTCTTTCCTAACATATCGACAATCAAATTCCAAGCATAAGGGCTATGTTTATCATTCAACTGATATCCCGACCACCGAAAAAACTTAACGACCGCGCCTGGGTGCGCATACGATAATTTAAGAACGTCTTCAACAGTTTCTGTAGAAACCCTAATTCCGGTATCATCTAAAACCCTAGTTACATCTAACGACGGTGTATGTGCAATAATTCCACATAGTAGTTTCACTTTAACGGGCAAATTAGGGGTGTCAATGTACGAAGCAAAAACTGGGCGCTTACTCGTTGGTGGTTGTTGGTTTATCCGGTGGTGATTCGGCTCCGAACTTGACGCGGGACGTTGCGAGGCTGGGTGTGATGAATGGTCGGGCTTTTGGCTGGTTCGACGGTCGTTATCCCGTGAGGAGCGTGGCGAAGATTCGCGACGACGTCTCGTCTGTTTGGTTCCCGTCATGATTTTTCCAATGGAAGTTGGAGGAGCGTTCGTCGTTGCTGTCAGAAACCCTAGCCAAAGAGAAAGGGTGAAGATGATGATGGTAAGTAAATAAAGGATTATACTCTAATTTTTGTTGTATTTTTAAACACCAGTTCCCTTACAATATAGCGACATAAATTTTTATCTTAATTTTTTATTTTTATTAATATAATATGATTTTATATAATTTTAATAAAAATGTTAATATTTTTATTTTTAAATAAAATATAAATTTGAATATAATATAAAAAAAATTTAAAAATAAATCGATATTAGTATCAAATTAACTATTTAATAGTTCTCGTTTTTTTTGTGTAACTTCTTCAATTCAATTTTTTATTATAATTTAATTTAGAATTAATATTAAAATAATTTATTTTTAATTAAATAATATATTTTTTATAAAGATAACAATTAAACATTCTGTTAGTACTCAATGATTATCTTAATTATATTTTTGATTTTTTATATTTAAAACGAATGTTTATCTTGTATTTGATTATGCTTATCTGCATTTAGTTACACGAATTTAAAAATGAAGTTTTAATAAGTTGTACCTACGCAAAACTATTTGTAATTTTGAATTTTAAGTAACATGTATCAATAAACAGTACTTCAAGCATAAAAATTGGTTTTTAAGAGTTTTTGTCAAATGTTTTATAATATAGTATAGATATAGATTTTTATTATAATTTAATTTAGCTATAATAACGAAGTAATTTATTTTTAGTTTAATAATATAATTTTTATTAAAGATAATAATTAAACATTCGGTTAGAAACTCGATAATTATTCTAATTATATTTTAAATTTTTTATATTTTAAAATGAGATGTTTATCCTCTATTTGATTATGTTTATCTGTAGTTAATTATACGAATTCAAACATTGAGCTTTAATAAGTTGTACATAATGCATAATTTACTTATAATCTTGAATTTTAAGTAATATGCATCAATATACAGTACTTTATGCATAAAAAATGGTTTTTAAGAGTTTTTGTCAAATGTTTTATAATATAGTATAGATTATAGTTATAATAACTCCTCTAAAAAGGCTCGTGAAAACACTGTCACGACAAGTTTGTCGTTATAAGTCAAGTTTTCAAAAAGCAACGCGACTTTTAAGCTTGAGGCTTGGTCATGCCACCACATCTCAATCTATTTACAACCTTTGTTATAACTAGATTTTTATTCACATCATTTGACTCATCTGAATCTAATGATTTGGATGAATTCTTTGATTCTTTTCAAAACTCTCTCTCAACCTCAACCCCAAGCTGGCAATCTATATGTATGTTTCTTTATAAGATGAGTTACAACTATCTTTGAAATTTTAAGAGGTATCATTTTATATATTCAATATATAAATTTAAGATACACAACCTCTCACCTCTTCATGATGGTATTAAAAAACAAATCATTTTTAATTTTTAAAGTACATTTCATACCGTTAAATTAGTTATTTAATTTAATTTATATTTCTTACTTTTTCATTTTATACATTTTTTTATATTAACATACATAATCGTAAAATATATAAAAAAACATATGTTTTTTATTTCTACAAATTACACTATTATAATCGTCTCATCAATACATTTAAAATGAGTCACTGTTATATATTTTTGGAATTAATTTATATTATTAAATTTTAATTTTAATCCTTACATTTTTTATCCTTTAGTTATTTATTTAATTTATAAAACAAACGTATTTTATTAATATATAGTTATGTATGCTAATATAATAAAAATATAGGATGAAAAACTATGAAATATAAAATAAATTTAATAATTTATTGTAATTGTGTAAAATGTAAAAAAAATTACATTTACGCAAGCAAACGCGTAAAATATGTTTTTCTTTCTTTCTTTTTTAATTAGAAAATGATGCTTTACGTATATGTATGAAAAGTAGTTATGTTTAGAAAGTAGCTATGAAGTAAACTGAGGTTCAATGATTGGTTATTTTGACCACTTTCTCAACAACTTTTTGGACGGGATCACAATCACATTCAACTTTGCTTTGGGCCACAACTGACCAAGCTTTACAATAACATTTTCTCAATTTGTTATGCATCAAACCATATGAAAATTTGTTATTATAGCTTTTAGAAGTAAGTCAAAATTGCATGATTGTCAAGAGTTGTGGTATCTCACTGATGATTGTGGGTTTCAATAATTCCAGTGTTTGGCAATACCTTCGATTAAAGACAATATTAGGTCAGTTGATATGGTTCTACATAGCGACACGAGGATTGTGGAGCATGCAAACTTGACACAAGTATTTTCACTTGCACTTAACTTTTTACTAAAAAAGGGATGTTTACAGGATAAACGGGTATAATGAGTTTCATTGGAATTACGATAAGGATCAGGACAAACTATTTTTAATTTTTTTTTTTTCTAGTTTTGCAAGTCTACTCAGTTGAATAAATGTTTATTAAATGATGTAATAGGCATTTGTTACCAATACCAGACTAAGAAATATGTTTTCGATTGTCTGAGCATGGACTGTGGTGTCTTTATCCTTATGACTTTGATGTTGTATGTCAAGCTAATCAGAATCCTATATGATGTTGCCAATGACATCATCTATTCCATAAAGCATTTGTTTTTTATACCATAAAGTTTTAATTGAATGGATTTGCTGAGGGATGGAGTTTTTCAAAACAAGAATGACCTTTGGTGCTGCTTCTAATGATTTGAAAGGTTTGGATGTTTCTAACTTTGCTAAAGTAATCGTGGAAGTCGAGGATATTGTCTTAGGGGTCGTTTACCAAACACTTACCCGAGTAAGTTTTTACCAAGTCACATTACCTCATCGAATGAATATGGTAAGAACTAAGAAAACTTACCTGGTAAGAACGAGACAAGGATCATGACTCTTACCCGGTAAGTGAGGACGACGACTCTTACCACGGTAAGCGCTTACCGGGTGAAATGTTGCATATAATGTCGTTTTGATGGACTAAAGTCCTACCTGGTAAATAAATAATAGTGTTAAATTTTACCTGTAAGCACTTACCAGGTAAGTGTTTGGTAAACGGCTCCTTAGGCTTTATTGTGATATGTTTGAAGAATGGTTATTACTGGAGTACTGGACTCATTCTTACTTGGCTTTACATTTAAGTCGTTTGTCCTTGATGAGGCCTATATTGGTTTACTTTGTTAATATGCATAGTAATTACCTCTATATAGAAAATGATTTAAGAGATTTCAGAATTAGGTCTTATTTTGTAATTCTTACTTTGTCTTGAAGTAAATAAATTGATTTCAATAAATTTTTGTCTATAGTGGGTATTTATGTACGTAGGGACAAGTTTAAACAATAACGCTAACTATTTAAGAAAACAAGAAAAAAGTTGTTAACATACAAAATTATATATGATTCACGTAACAAATCATACATAGGGCTGGTTATATAGTTTTTGGTGCCCTGGGCGAAAGCGCTAAAAAATGCTCCTATATAAAAAAACACTAAATTATTTCGGATTTGTAACAATGTTGAGCATGATGTTACCGAACAACAAGTTCACACACAAAGTGTATTATAATAACATAAAAAGCTTTGTTCAATTATTTTTAATTCTTAAAACTTCATATGAATGTAAAGTAACAACTATATTATAAAAATAACCATTTAAAACAGGGAAATTGTACAAAAATAGAACTAACTTTCACCTAATTACTATTTTGGGGAACCAACTTTCAAAATTGTCATTTTGGGGAACCAACTTGCATCTGATTCCAATTTTGGAAACCAACTTTCAAAATCGTCATTTTGGGGAACCAACTTGCACCTGATTCCTATTTTGGGGAACCAACTTTCAAAATCGTCATTTTGGGGAACCAACTTGCACCTGATTCCTATTTTGGGGAACCAACTTGCAAAATAATTATAGAAAAATAACTAAAATTCGTTTTTTTTAAATTAATGCAATAAAATCTAATTTTTATTTAAAATCTCGTTTTTTTTAATTCAAATATCAAATTGAACATTTTTAAAAAATTCAAATTACCACAATAAAAATTATTTTTTTACTAATGCAAAAAAAATCAATAAAAAAAATTAATTGATGCAATAAAAAATAAATATTAAATATCACATTCAAGATTTTTATATCTAACCAATTGCATCAATTAATTTTTTTCTATTAAATTAATTTTTTTTTGCATCAGTAAAAAAGAATTTTTATTGTGGTAATTTAGATTTTTTTTAAATGTTCAATTTGATATTTGAATTAAAAAAAAGAAGATTTGAAATGAAAAATACATTTTTATTGCATTAATTTTTGGAAAAAAAAAACGAATTTTAGTTATTTTTCTATAATTGTTTTGCAAGTTGGTTCCCCAAAATAGGAATCAGGTGCAAGATGGCTTTCCAAAATGACGATTTTGAAAGTTGGTTCCCCAAAATAAGAAATAGGTGAAAGTTGGTTCCATTTTGATGCAATTTTTTCTTTAAAATAAATTACATTAACATATGGTAGAACCTAACACATGTTAGTGCTAAAACAACATTTTACGTTGATTACCAAAAAGACATTTGGCCAAGTGATATCTGAACTTTTGTCCTTCGTGGAAGTCAAGGGTTCAAACCTCAGTAAATATGACAATGGTGTATGAATTCTTTTGTTGCATTTTCTATATATAAATATTACAAGGGTGTTTGGGATTTGCTTATAAAAGTTGTTTTTTAACTTATTTCAGTCTGACACCGGTGACAAGCTGTTTTCTGGTGTTTGGATAAAAAAAACTGCTTATACCGGTACCAAACCGGTAATAAGCTGTTTTTTTATAAGTTAATTCTTCCTGACTTATGAAAAACTGCTTATTACCAGTTTGCATTTTTAATCTTGTTTTATTTAACTCTGATTTGATACAACATAAGTTAATAAGCACTTTTACAAAAAAAAAATCAGTTGTTTTAAATAAGCAATCTCAAACACTCCCTATATACTTAAAAAAAATTACAATGATCGCTTGTAGAGTAGTATGGTATGCTCAAATAGTTACTATTTGAAGCCAATTATCAAACAAAGTTTAAAAAAATCATTATATATAAATTTTATATCATTTTATTAAAACCAAAAACAAACTTGAATATGCATGTACAAGTTCAACAGATGCAACAACAAAAGATAATTATTTCTATTGCCCATATAAAGCATGTTTGATAAAACCATACATAGAAAAAAGAATAATAAGATTTCAAATATTATCGATGTTTTTTCAAAACAAAAAAACATATAGATTATTAAATGTAATTAGTTTTTTTTATAGATAAACATATGTTGGCACTAAAATGAGAATTAAACAATTTTAAGCTGATGAAAAAGATTTAGAATGAGAAAAATAAAAGTAATAAATAGTTGGTTTTTGTTTGAACTTTACGACTCTCCCTTTATATGTTATATTTGGAAAATGAGAAGGAAAATATTGGCAAACTAATTGGTTGTATATATTTAAGTTACAAATCATTCTAAACGAATCCTTTTTATTGCTAAATAAATCATTCTTACCAATTTCATGTCAAACACATCAATATCAAATATATTATTTTACATTTATTATCCACAATTTAAATAAAAACAAGCTCATTTAACACACCTTTGTACTACTATGATATTTAATGTTAAAAAATGGAAAATTATAAATATGACAATTTTAAAAATACATAATATAATAAAAAGGCTATTTAGTTAGAACATTTCTAAAAACTATATTAAAATAGATAAAAAAGAGATTTTAACAATCTTTTTGCTGCAACAACTATGTTATTTTAACAAGGGTGGTGCCTGATTGGTTTGAGTTTGGTTCCAAATATCAAAAGTACCAGGAGGTCCCAGGTTCAAATATGTTGATCCCCTCTCTCAGTGATTTGATAATAATATATTTTCTCTTTCACGTTGTATTTGTGTTTCTGTGTTTTCAGTTCCAGCGATCATCACTGAGTATGTTCAGTGATCGCTGAAGAACTTGCATTGTAAATTCATCAGATACATCAATACTTCAACAAGACAACACTCACACCAATGAACATTCTACAAACGTCGAAGATTGAAACTGAAGATTAGAGACTGACGAGTACGTGATCTGAAGCGGTATTCAGTGATTACAAGTCTGTCTATACATGTGTGAAGACTGTTTTAGCTTCAACGAATGATGATGAGACCTCCAGGTCATTCCAGCATTCAGCGATCAAAGGAAGCTTGCTTAGCACGATTGTTGTTGTCTTGTCCTTATGCACACAAAGGACAAACCTATACCCTTACAAAAGTTAGTACGGTACAGAGCCGATTAGTCGACTCTTTGTCCACCAACTTTAGGCAAGGATGTCTGCTCAGAAATAGTGTTTTTGTACTATTCACTGTAGCAAAGGACAAGCCTTCCTCTTAAGGTTTGACACGCACTCTAAACCTACCATAGTGTATTAAATGATCATTTAATGCACTGAGTATAAATAGAAATGTTTATTCTCCATGCAGAGAGCACGCATCTCTCTCTAACCTTATTCTTACTTCAAGCATCTTCTAGCTTAAGTAAATGATCTTTCTTTTAGCATTCTCTATTCTTGTATTTGCTAAAGCTCTGTGTGTAACCAAATATTGTTTAGATAGGTTTTCATTACCTTATTTTTCCGCAAACAATCTTGTAAAATATGTATTGATCTTCTTTATCAATAAATATTTTAAATTTGAAAATATTGTGTTTGTATTCATCCCCCCCTTCTACAAATTGTTTCTATTCTTGTAGACCCTTACGGGACCAACAAAATCCAAGGAGGAACAAAAACCCCCTTGTGGCCACGAAGATTCAAATACGGTGACTCCGGGCTATCTGCAAAGTAGATGGTCGCCCTAAGATTAGTCAGCTCGCATAGCTGGTTGAATATTCAGGTTAATTAAAAAAACTATGTTATTTTGTATGGTAAAATATAAAAGAAGGAATATATTGTAAAATCTGTAATAAATCTTTAAATAAAGAGAGAAATTATTATTTTAATATTCTCCATCAATAAGAGGTATAATTAATAAATTTTGAGAAAAAATAAATAATATTTTATTAAATATATGAATTATCTTGATAATATATATAAATATATTTAAATTCTTAAACAGAGTAGTTGTTCAAGTTAAATATAATTTAAAAAAAATAACATTTAATATTTTATTTTATAGAAATATAACACAACTGTTTACATTACACTTTTAAATCTAAAATTGGTAAACTATTTTTCTTAGGTTGTCTGCTGTGACTATGGGTAAGGTACAATTATAAGATCAGCATCACGTCCATGATCCAACAACTCTTTTAAGTTAAAGTTAAAATCTTATATGAACCAAATGGCCCTCCATTTCTCCACCACCACTAAATTGACCCCCTATAGGCCACGACCTGTCCGTATTTGTTAACCGACAATAACCTTATGACTTCCAAGTCGTTTACCAAATGTGTGCCGAGCAATCATGACAATAATCGACATTCCTGCCTGGTAAAAGGCATAATGACTAAGGATTTTATCTGGTAAGCGAGAAAGATGACTTTGTCGTCGTTAGTGTTTACAAGATAAAAGATGCTTATCAACAATCCGTTTTGATGGTTGAGATTGTACTCGATAAGATAAGTGAACATGGTGACTCTTGTCGATAAATACTTACCGATCCATTACTTCTATTTTATAGTTAATTTCGGTATGCGAGATCAAGAACAATTGAACATTCCTTTTTTTTTTTGCTTCGAAGATTGTGTCATAACTAGTTACTTTACTTGAAAAATGTAAAAGAATGCTTCATTTTGTGGTTTGGAGGACCCATCATCCAATGACAGTTTTACATGTTACCGACTGTAAAAAATGATGGACGTAAGATAAACAGGAGTTCCAAATACGTAATTCAATACATGGTAACCTATGGCCTGTTTGTCAGCAGTTTAATGAGATTTTATCTTATTCAATTAGCTATATATATATATTGTTTGATAATAACTTGTTGATATAGAAAATGACTTATTTAGTAAGTTTATAGGATTAAAACTATATATAAAAATTGATTTTTTTCTACACCTGCCCTTTCTAAATAAAAACACGTTCATGCCATTTATGAAAAAGTCTTTTCAATTTATATACACAGATTAATACATACAAACAACTTTATCCATACAAGAAAAACTAACATAACAACCCATTAGTCTCCTCAAAAGAGTTTTAGGGGACGTATGTCAAGTTTCTCAAAGATGAAGGGTTATTTTGACCATAAAACATAACGCAGATCTGTTTGTGAATATTTTCAAATGGCGACACATTGGACTTAAAAAGATATAAATTTATCAAAACCCAAAACCACGTTGTACCCTCAAGTATACCAGTGAACCGAAAACCTTCGTCCGTCCGAGCACATCCGAAATTCTTGAGAAACAACAGATCGATCCGCATGTCGGAGCCGCAGAAAGTCGACGAATCAACCCAGCCTGTCGCCGCCGGTATATTCATCTCATTCTCTATCTCTTTCTCCATTGTTTTATCTATTAAGGTTTTTAGAGTATAATTTCTGCGAAGACCCCCATCGAACGAGAATCGGGCCATCAAACACTGAAAACTCTCCCCATAGCTATTTAGAGGTTCAATGCGGTTCCAGTAATGTATCAGAGCCCGGGTCTACCCATCTAGGGCCTTGACGCAATCTTTTGCACGTCGGCCAGATATGTACTATCAAACCCCTAGGGTTTCAGATATCCCAACAAACGCAAAGACAGATATATAATCAACTGAAGTGTTGTAAGAGCGTGCATTTTAACTTACTAGTTGTGGCCCGATGGATGTACGATATTGTTGCTCATCCAGAGTGGAACATTAATGGAAACTTCTCATTAATAAAAGGAAAATCCATAATTCACGTTTGAAGAAATAGAAATTACAAGCGATGGTTGAATATGTCTTCTGATGTAAAATACTCAAAAAGAAATATATTGATATGGCTGAATATGACGTGTTTGGTTGTCGGTTATTAATTAGTTTTATAGAGTTCAAAGAGTTGTAAGCACTTGTACGCATGAAGTAGTTACATGTATTCTTGAATTTTTAAGGGACATGCATTAATCAACACTCAATGCTTAAAGAGTTGTTTTTAAGAGTTTTGTCTAAATGTTTAATAATATAGTGCAACTTATACAAGTGTTTGATCATCGCTTCACTTAATTGAATCTCTCAATGATCATGCAAAGAGCAATTAGTATGTTCAATGATACTTTAACTTTATCCCAAATTTGTCTATGAAGAGCGGATCTAATTGTATTAGTATCTATAATTTGTACTTGTGTTCCATATATTTCCTTGCTTTTCTGAAAGGCATCATCATAATTATTTTGCCATACAAACTGATCATGAACATCGATTTCTTTGTTAATGTAGATATTATCATCATATATGGAAAAGGTGTCTGCTGTCTCATAGCAGGCAGTTTTTGATCTTGTAGTTGTGTGGCTTTCTTTAATAATCAAGGTTAACTATATCCAGCCTGTTCACGTTATTTCTTTCTCTGTCCCAATAATGCACACTTAATTGGTTTGGTTACAAATATGGCGCCAAGTTTGTTCAAATTGTTATAAAATTTTATTGTGATCATCAAATCTCTGTGCAGAAGAATTCATATCGATTTTGAAGTTAATGTAGCACATTTGATCTTAAAAGTCAAGGTTTACCCCTTTTCCTTGGGAACCAAGGGAGCTAACTTTGGTAGGAATGCAATATGCATACTGGTCCCATATATGTGTTGCATATCTTATTATGGGAGTTTATGTCTCATTAGGAAATTTAAGTATATAGTTTTAATCTTTCGACACTGTTCAGGGGGTTTCTCATCCTAAATTTTGGAAATTTTAAGGGTTGTTTCTTTACCTCTTAATAGTTCCATTAAGAGACACACTCTGAATCGTTAAGAGGTGAATCTTGTTTGGCAAAAAAAAAATGCTGCCTCTTAATGGTTCTAAAACCCTCTTAATGATTTTGTATTCTGGGCCTCCCTTAACCATTAAGCGCCCTAATTTCATTGTAAACAATTACCAAACAACTATATCTCATTTTGCACTATATCATGAGAGTCTCTTAATCATTTTGATCACTTAATCATTTTGCATCAAACCATTCAGCAACTGCCAAACAGCTAGTCCTGATTGTTAAACCAGTTGCCTTTTTTTCATCTTTGCTTTCTTATCTCTTTAGCAAATAGTGCAAGGCACTCGGTTAGGGTGTTGAGCAATTGAAACAATTCATTCCCTATTAACAACAACAACTAATTGAAGTAGACAGACATATGTTGGGATGGAAGGAACCTGTCCTGTGATCAGGTTGCATATGCTGAAGGGGGAAGACCGAACAAAGAGACCCTTAAGCACATGTATGAACCAATTTAGAACAGGAAATGGGATTTGTAATATGTTATTAGATTAGATTTTTGTTTTTTCTAGTAGAATAAAATCGGTCAGCAGTCATATAGTTTTTAGAAGGCATAGTCATATATTATTATTGTTTACTTTTTTGGATTTGAAAGGATGAGCAGTCTTGAGTTCAGAAATATATAATTCCTCATATTTCATTATCCTGGAATTTCCTGATCCAATTGGGATGGATATTGGATTCCTGAATTTCCCAAGTTTTTGAGCAACCCCAGACAGAATTGCCCATCCCCTCTTTCCCTACCTATCTTTCCTTTTCTCCCTCCCCCTCTCTTCCCTTAATTTTCATTTGTTGTACAATGCGCATAGGGACACATGTATATATCAGAAGACTAGGAACATCCTAGCTACTTCTGGATGAAGGATTATTTTAGGATCAACCAAGATCTATATAAACTAGTTGCAACTTGAAGTTCTATGTTGAAGTATTCAAAATCATATTTACCTACTATATGAAAGAAGAGTTCACTGGAAATTTGATGATTGTCAAACCCTTCGTTCGGGAAGGATTGTACTTGAAGTAAAATATTATTAGTCATTTGACAGTGATTATAGGCTCTTTTTCCAGATCAATCTATCATCAATCACTTTGGGGATAGATCCAGTTCAGCAGCAAACATAAACTTTTTAGACCTCCAAACAAATCCATATATATATATGTATATATATGTATATATATGTATATATATGCACTACTTCTTACCGTGTCTTCAAATGGAAACCTAGGAGTAACTCATAGCTCTGCTTCATGCAAGCACAAGGTGTCCTTAGTAGCCTTAAGAGTTAGTAAGGAAGCGTATGTGATTTGATATGTGTAGTATTCTCACAAAGCTTTCTTGAAACAACTAGATTACAATTGGCTACTTTGCCCATCAACTTCTTTCTGTTGCATGCAAGCTTCATGTTGACTTTCAGCCATGTTAGTATATTATTTTAGCTGCTGATTTTACTCCTAAAAACTTTTTCATTACACTCTTTTCTTTATTTCACATTGCCATTGGATGTGATACAAGAAAATAACGGTGGAATATATGAAGTTATCAGCCATGATATGACAGGAGGCAGATTCAAGTGGCATGGTTACGAAGGACAATATAAACATTTAATATAAGCTGTTTTTTTAAAAGAATGCTTTGTTTGAATTGCCATAATGATTTTGCTGGGGGGGGGGGTTGTAATATATTAGATACTAGTTAGTGGTAATAGTATATGGTACATGGAATGCTAATGAACTCTGTTGTTATGTTGTCATATAATTCTGACAAACTTTAGGGGCTTGTTCGAAAAGAGGGCAATGATGCCATCCATGCCATGTAGGCTACAATGTTGGTTCATCAAAAAGCAACCTAGGCATAAGTTTAATGTAGTTACAATGGATGATATGGTGAATGTCTGGTTACACAAGGATGGTAGGACAGAGGTTATGTTGGTCAAAAAAAGCTAAGGGTGACACCAATCTAGGGGAATAAATGAGGATTCTTAAGATGGTTAGCGCATATTTGATGTAACCGTATGCGAGGAATGATTAGTTTCTATAAGAGAGTAAGGAGAATGCGTTATTGAAGTATTAGAAGAGACTTGATTGAAAAGTTCATATATAGAAACGTGTTAGATCTTCGCATTAAACAGCAGGTATGTCAATTGTGCAGTATTATTTTCCCTTCCCCTTTCCATCTGCATGATCTTTTTAATTTTCATTTTGCTGGCAACAACTGGTGTAGGATAAAAGCTTAGCTAGATTTGGTCTGAATCACGATTCCTGACTACCATTCCTAATATGTAAGATCTAGATGCTTTTGACTTGATTTTAGAACTGTTTTATATGATTTTTTTAGTCCATGCCCTTTGCATTCATTCTTGCTGTGATAATTAGACATTACTCAATGGAATTTTCTCACACCAAAACTTTCTTTATGAAACGGTTGAAAACTTGAAATACACGTCCTGTTAGCGGCGAGTTTCAAAACAATAACCATTGGTCCAGCCTTTCCCTGTTAAGAGATTTGATGCGTGCTTGTGGTGAAGAATCTTAACGACGAGTTTGCCTTTGGAATTAAGCAGTTTCTCTAGACAGCGCTTCTGTATTCATATGTACAAGAGTGTTCGCTAAGTAACATATTGATCTAATATGTTGCTTTTGTGGTTCCTAGAGTGAAACAATAGTTTGTTGCTTGATATACTTTGTATTTGTTTCAAGTGTTATTTCTCTTTCAAGTGACATTTCATGATTTTTTATGCAACCTATAGTTAAAAGGTCGATTAGAGAGAAAATATGGGGGAACCCCTTCTTTTAGCTGTTGCACTTAGTTCCATGGATTTATTTAAAAAGAGTGCACTTTCATGGAGCATATTTTGAGTAATGGTCATAATTCGTATCAGTTGCAACTTGCAAGCAAACCTGGATGGTACCTAGTGTGGAACCACAAAAACATAATGAGAGGTGCAAATGCATGTTTGCTTATCTTACTTCTGTAGGAGACTTGAAGTGTGGTATATATAATCGTACATTTGATATATGTAATTTTATATTTCTTTTCCTTTGTTTTGTATGTAGGTGAGAAACCACAACTGTACAAGTGTCTTTTGAATAAATATGCTCAAAAATTATGGAAACAACGCCCAGTATATCAAACACGGAATGAAGGACCTGACCATCTACCAAAGTTCAGGTCTACTGTGTGGGCTGATGGGGTGAGCTATACATCTCCAAACACGTTTAAACAGCGTAAAATGGCTGAGTTGGATGCTTCTAGGATCGCAGTTTTGGCTACAATGCACAAGTTGAAGAATGAGGCGTTACGTCTTGTTCGTGAGGTTTGGCACATACATTAATATTGATTTTAACTGTTGTATATGGTTTAATACTATTAGTGTACTTACCTTTCCTGCTTGAAACTCTCTTTGTGTTGCTTTTCTATGATAACATAAGATTGACAAGGGGTGTTGATAATTTTCTTCTGCTTGTTCTTCTCTTGAGAACAACTTATTTGCTTTCACCCTGCACTTGTTTGAGCATAATCAGACTTATATTAGATTGCATCACTTGTGCGTTGTATAACTATCTCTGATCATTTCTTTATCTTCTGCTTGTATGCATTTTTCATGTTTCTGGATTTCTCATATTTATAATTTTTTCTTCATGTAATTTTTGCAAGCCTAAGAACCCTGAATGTGAACGTGTGGTTTTCTTTCCTTTTCTCGATTGCGTATATGTCACTCCCCCAGACCCTGCTTTCGAGCTGGATATATCGGGTTGGGTTGGGTCGGGTTTGGTTTAGCTTAATGGCATCTCTCTCTGCAAACCATTCATTTTTCCATGGCATGTTGCATATGCAGACGGGAAATAATCGTCATCTAGAGACGGCTTTTACTTTCTTTCACTCTTAACCAGTTGTTTTGTATTCTATTGTGTTATCTTGTCCACGTTTCTCTATTGATTGACATAAGTTATCCTTTTCAAGTCAATGTTTCTTACTACTTTGTGCCATCATCCAGGATAAATCGTTTTGCAAGTCTATTCTGGTTGAATATGCTGCTAGGATGAATATACAGAAACCCACCTACCAGACGATTCAACTAAATACGCAAATTCCTGTTTTTCGCTCTTCTTTGGTTTTCAATAATGTTTCTTGTACAGGAGATGATAGTAAAAGCAAAAAAGAAGCTGAACAATCAGTGGCACGTGTTGTTATTCTAAAATATTTAGGTACTTCCCTAGATCTGAAAGCTTATGTTCTATGAGCTGATTGTAAGATTCTTTTCAAGTTTCTATGTTTTGAGTTGAAATTTTGGGTAGCATTTGCTATAATTTGAAATAGAAGGTACTTAATGAAACTCTAATCGATTGTAAGGGTTACCCTTCTAATTGTACTCAGTATTTTCCTTCTCATATCTACATCATGCGACTGGCTTTTCACTTACGATATTCATATATGTCATTGTTAATATCTGTTGGTTCTTGTGCAGATTCTGACTCAGAAAACATTATGTCGGAGATAGTTAACTGTAAGTTCAGAAATTATGTTGAAATGAAGGACATACCCGGTGCTCAGAATGGCACCAATGCGGTAGCACAAATTAGAGTCGACAACAACACCAATGCGTTGGTACAAACTGGAGTTGACAACAGCACCAATGCGGTAGTACAAACTGGATTTGACAATTGCATCATTTCGAATGAAGCTAAAGTTGAGGAAGGAACCAAAATGCTGAACGCAACTGCACTACCAGAGCCTTCCTTGGTACAAGGCACTACCATCCCTCCAGGGATCATTCCTGAAGAATCAACTCAGGCTAGCACTCCAGCTATTCCGGTGCCTACAGTTTTGGCACAGGCCCAATATGCTGGGACCAACAATGCATCTATTTCCTCCCAAATATCATTACCGTCTTTGGAGGATCTTGCCCGTATAATAGCAACTCATCTTTCTTCTAATGTGTTTCGGTTGGCAAATTCAGAGGCATCATCTGGAGTAGTTGCTCCTCCACTTTCTTTGTCGTCTCCTGCTGTAGCACAAACAACGGTCGCAAGTCAAACTTCTGGCAAGAAGCGAAACCGTAAGAACAAGAAAAATGCCCAAAAGAAAATGCGAGTCGAGGATCAGTAAGTATCGATCATCTTTAAAACATCCTTTTGTTCTTGTTTCCTTGTTTTATGATGTCTTTGTTAATGTTTTTTAGGCTTGATTAGGTTTACTTTTCCTTGTGAAACAAGGGCTTAATTTTCTTTAGTGGGTTGCTATAGTTTAATCACTTCTGGTTAAATTATATTTAGTCCGATGAATTGGTGGTATACATTTCAGAATACAATGTTTCAGTTTTTTTAGTAATGAACTGGGGTTTACGGGAGATGTGATCATTGAGGCATTTTCAATCTACTTATCTGCACAATTGTCAGGCTAAGTTGCTCATAAATAAAAACATTTGATCCATAATGCCTTTGTTTTGAAACTTACTGTTCGATCTTGGTTCTTTAATTTCAGGTCATTGTTGCCGGCCGTAGCTCTGAGCCAATTTCCTACATTTTCGACACAATAAGTGGATTTTGAATTCTGTGTTTGTAAGGTAAACTTTCTTCGCTACTGATTTTTAATTTGTGACAGTAGAAAGGCTGAGTTTTATTCATTATCCTCCCTTCTTGCATTTTCATCTACAATGTATGATGTGTAAGAGCATCTCCAACAGCTTCTCTGTAATAGAGAAAATCAACATTTTATTCTCTATAATGCTCCAACAGCTTCCATATCTCATTCTCCAAAGCAGAGAATTCTCTAAAAATCCAAAGAGAAGAGAGAGAAATGAGTTTTTTATTCATCCCACGAATGAGGGTTGAATTAATATCATTATATATATATAAAGGGTATTGAGATCACAAAATTATATTTTAAATAATAGAATTAATGATAAAATCTCTAAAATAGAGAAGCTGTTGGAGTTGATTGTAATTTATTTTAGAGATTTTGATTTTTAGTTCTCTATTTTTTAGAGAAATTATAGAGAAGCTGTTAGAGATGCTCTAAGGTGAACTTTAGCTTCATAGTTTTTATCGCAGTAGTTTTAGAGAAACTGATATATGAATTGTACTTTGAACAAATTGTTTAGTAAGTCGAATTTATTATGTAGAAGCAAATTAATAAATATAACAAGGTTGGAATCTTGAAACCAGAATTTGATTCTGTTTTCTTTGGTACCAAAGGTCTATTACAAGACCAAGTAGTATTTTGAGTCATTGTACTTGGCATGTTGTTTCTACACGTTAGTCTTTGTTCGTCTGCTCTTTTCGTTCACACTTTTTCACGGGTCTTCACAAAAAACAGCCTTTGAGGACCAGTCTGTGTGCATCCCAGACCCTACTTTCGAGTGGGATATAACTGGTTTGGTTTACATTGTTTTTAAAAAACCCAACATACTAGCACGAAAATGCAGAAAAGTAAAAGAAGAATGTAAAAACAATAGGGTTGGCCAGAAGACATCGCAAAAACACCTAGTAGTAATTTTGCATTCTTGCAAGCGTGACGAGATGTCTAAGTCCATGTGCTAATTAATTGTTCATTATAAAGGATCTTTCAGCATTTCTAGCTTATTCACATAGCATCTGGTTTAAGCATCCTTACTGACACTTTTCTGTCATGTATCGCAGAATGATCAATAAAATTTGATTGTTTGTGGAACGTGATGGTTCGATGATTCTTGCAAATTATTCTCCGTATAATTGAGTACCTTGGCTCAACGATCGACGTCTGTAGCTTTTTGTCATAGGCCTTGTTGCAATGGACCCTTTATCTTTGAAAAAACTTGCAGGATTCCACTTAATATGCAACTATGCAAGATATTTCTTCATGCACCAGGTTGTTAGGATTTTATTGTTGCTGTTCTAGTATGCATGAAAACCATTTGTAAAGGTACAATATAATTTCAAGACTCCTGTCACCTACTCCTGTTTTATCTATATGTAAAAACTACCACATGAAGCATTCACAATTTTAAAAAAAAGTATTTTTAAGAGGTGGGACCTCTTGAAGCATACACAATGGTACTTTTTTTATAAAAAATGTGGGACGTACAAGCTTATTTTATTTTTTATAAAAAAGTGGGACCTACAAACTTAAGTAGACTCTTTAAATGAAGAAAATGGAAAATTTAGCGATATTTTTGTTTCTAACATATTATCTAGAACCTTCTTTAAAATGGAGAAAGTAGAAGAGAGAAGGATAACATTCTCTAGATTCACGGAACTCCCTAAAAATAAAGTGAGAATTGATATTTTATTATTTTTTAATAAGAGTCTTTAAAATTAAATGTTTTGGTGAGATAGATAATATTTTATTAAATGTATTATATATTTTAATTTAATTGGGGTTGTAATATCTAAAATTGAGAACTTGTTGGAGCTGAGTGTAATTTTTTTTAGAGTATTTTGATTTTTTAGAATGTAATGGAGATGAATTTATAAGGCCAAAAAGCTCTTATGAAGAGGTATATTATGAATGCTTTTAGAGAGCACAAATTAGAATAAGAATAATGATGAGAATGTTGAAGTTAAGAAATGAGAATAAGAATGATAATGAAAATGTTGAAGATGAAAAATAAAAATAAGAATGATGATGAGAATCTTGATAATTGAAAATTTAGATGGAAATGAGTGATTATCCAAAAATGTATTGTTTTTGTATCTACCAAATAATCTCTAAATAATATTGGTTCATATCCGTTTTTTTATTCTTGTAATTTTTAATAAAATATCTGTTAATACTGTTATAGATTCGGAGTTGGTTTCAATAAGAAATATAGTTAAGTTGAGAAGTGTAAAAATTGATCTCCATCATTGGATGTATATTTGGATGAGACACAACAAATCAATCCCCGTATCAAGTATGATTCATGTGTAGGTTTCAAATTAAAGGTGATCAATGGTCCATATTCCTTTTTACGTTTCTCACCTTAAGGCTATGTTGGTAAACTAGCTGATAAACTAACTTACGACTGATAAGCTAGCTAGTAGCTGATGAACAAATCATATTTGACAAAAACTAGTTGAACAACATATAAAATGACTAAAAAGGCATCTTGAAAAAGTAGTCAATTAGGATATTTTATAATATAATTAAACCAAATATTTAATAATATAATATATTAATATAAACAAGATACTAAAAAAAATTAAAATGATATAATATGTTAATTAAAAGAATTTTAAATTGATTCTTGTATATATTATAAATTTTGGAGTTAAAACAAAATTTTATAAAAAAATCTACCTTAATTTATGATTTATAATAATAATTATATATAACGTGAATAAAAATAAAATTGATCAATCTCACATATCATAATTATTTAATAATTTTTCAAAAACTGTAATTACTAATTAAATTAAATATTTTATTGAAATCATTAACACAATTTTATTATCTATGAAAGAAAATAAAATATAACTTTGATTTTTATGTAACTTACATAAACATTATTAGAATTGTTATATTTGCTTTTTTTATAACTAAATGTACTGAATAATAATTTCAAAAATAGTAATATAAAAATAATTCTAAATAATTAATATTAATGTATAGTGTTTTCAACTATTTTTTATTTATTATTAATTAAATAATTAATCCCTTAATATTTTTTATTTATAATAATTAGTATTTATTTACAATAAAATAATAATAATCAATAATTAATATTAATGAAGAGTATAATTGAAAAAGTAAAAAAAAAAACTTTTCATAAGCTACTCCAAGTAGCTTATCAATAAGTTAGTTTATAAGCTAATTTATAAGTTAGCTTATATCTATACTATATTATAAAGAAATTGACAAAAACTCTTAAAATTTATTTTTTATACATAAAGTACTGTTTATTAATGCATATTACTTAAAAATTTAAGAATACAAGTAAATAATACATAGGTACAACTTATTAAAGCTACGTATATGAATTCATGTAACTAATTGAAGATAAACATAATCAAATATTTCATTTTAAGTATAAAAAATTTAAAATATTATATTATAAAACATTTGACAAAAACTTTTAAAAACTAATTTTTTTATGCATGAGTACTGTTTATTGATGCATATTACTTAAAATTCACGATTTCAAGTAAATTGTGCGTAAGTACAACTTATCAAAGCTCCATTTTGAGTTTATGTAACTAACTGCATCTTAACATAATCAAATACTGAATAAAAATCTCATTTAAACATAAAGATCTAAAATATAATTAGGATAATCATTGAGTCCTAACAGAATACTTAGTTATTATCTTTATAAAATATTATATTGGTAAACTAAAAATAAATTGCTTTGTTATTAAACCTAATTTAAATTGTAATAAAAAAATTGAATTAAAGAAATTACACACAAAAAAAAAAAGAACTTTTAAATAGTCAATTTGATATTAATATCAATATATTTTTTTTCAAATTTATATTTCATCCAAAAATAAAAACATCATCATTTTCTCAAAACCACATAAAACCGTATTATATTAACAGAGGCAAAGAATAGAATGAAACATTAAAATCGAGATGTATCTCGTTGTATTGCACGAGTACCCTTCTATTATGTTTAAATGTCTATCCAAAAAATAAGCTAACTTATAAATTAGTTTATGTTTACCAAACAATGTCCAACTCTTCTTCTCACATGATATTTCACATATAAGTTTAGTCATATGTTTGATCATTTGCAATATGTATTTGACTACACATCATGATTCACCGTTTTGAACCCAATTACACCTTGAAATTGTTGTTATATGACCATCAATACACAAATACATTTAATTTGGGAATTCAAAAATATCATACTTTACTATTATAAATCATTTTATATGGATTGAGTACAAAATAATGCATGAAGTTTTGTACGTTGTATAATTATTTATTTAAAACAAAAATCGAAAACATATAATATATAGTGTATAGTATGTCCTTCAAGTTTGACTACACATAATGAAAGTAAATCTCATTACATGTGTTCAAAATTTAATTAAAAAACAAGTACAAACAGTAATCATTTTTCGTACAAATAGTTATTCATTCCCAACCTATTACATGGGGGCGGAGACAACGTACAGAGAGGAAGGGACCCAGTCAAAAAGTTAGAAAAATTTACCTAGGTTAATTTTTTTTTTACAAAACTTACCTTCACTCTCACTCCCACTCCCACTTCCAGTAGAATTTTCCACGGGACCCTAATCTATAAAACTACTGGATCAGCCACTGCTATTACATTTACTTTAACATAGTGTAATTCATGTTTAGTATCAAAATCAAACAAAAAATGACGTAAATAGATGACGTTATACTAAATTTGGATTTTATTATTTATAACACCATTTTGATGAAATACTTGGTATCTTCATTGGAAAAGGTTTGGTCTGAAACTTTAGTTTGATGTGTTCAGAAAAGGATCATTTAGATATAAGTATAACTTATTAAACCTTCATTTTTGAATTCGTGTAACTAACTGCACTGCAGATAAACATAATCATATACAAGATAAACATCTTATTTTAAATATAAACAATATAAAATATAATTAGGATAATTATTGAGTTCTAACAAGATATTTAATTATTATCTTTATAAAAAATTATATTATTAAACCAAAAATAAATTGCTTCGTTATAAATCCGAAGTTAAATTATAATAAAAAAATTGAATCAAGAAATCACACAAATACGAGAATTTTTAAATAGTTAATTTGATACTAATACAAATATAATTTTTCAAAATTTACATTTTATTCAAAAATGACATTATCATTTTTTTAAAACCACATAAAACTGTATTATATCGACAGAGACAAAATTAAACGAAACGATAAAAACGAGATGTATCTCGTTGTATTACATGAATACTCTTCTAATGCTATACAATATATCCTTCAAGTTTGAACTATACATGATGAAAGTAAGTCTCATTACGTGTTCAAATTTAAACAAAAAATGAGTACAGACGGTACTATATTTTCTTTTTTAAATGAGCATAAGGTCGACTAGTTTAAAAGAGTATGTAATATCCTTTTACATTTTTTATATCCGGAAGCAGAACACAAATTGACTAGATTAGCAATAGCGGAGGGGCTGAAAAGAATTTTACACTTACAACTTTAATGGACTGAAGATGCTTCACTCTATCCAGAAAAAAACCTAAGGGCTTAAAGACCCCAATGGCCATCCGCCCCTGTTTATCCTTTGAATATGGAGATAAATCATCAACACATCTCCAACCATCTAACACCAAATTTTGCATTAAAATATAATATTTTTCGTACAAACAGTAATTCATTCCCAACCGAGTACACAGCGACAGATACATCGTATAGGAGAAAGGGACTCCAGTCAAAAAGTTAAAAAAAATTTACCTAGGTCAAAATTTATTTTTTACAGACCTTACTTTTACTCCTCTCAGTAGAATTTTCCATGAGACCCTAGTCTATAAATTTTTTGGATTCGTCACTGCTATTAAGTTAACTTTAACATAGTGTAATTCATGTTTAGTACCAAAATAAAACAAAAAATGGCGTAAATAAATGACGTTATACCAAATTTGGATTTTATTATTTATAACACCATTTTGATGCTATATTTGATATCTTCATTGTAAAAGGTTTGGTTTGAAACTTTAGTTTGATGTGTTGAGAAGATGATCGTTTAGATATATAATCTTAAATAAGATTTTAATTAAATTAATGACATCCCGACCTATTAAGAAAATATGTCCATATTTATCGGAAGATTCTAAATTCAGTTAGAATTTCATTTAATTATATATCATTTAGTAAGATGTCTCAACAATGTGTTGCGTTATCTATATTATATTATAAAGCATTTGATAAAATCTCTTAAAAATCATTCTTTATGTATGAAGTATTGTGTATTAATGCATATTACTTATAATTTAAAATTACAAGTAAACTGTGCGTAAGTACAACTTATTAAATCTTCATTTTTGAATTCGTATAACTAACCGCAGATAAATATAATCAAATATAGATAAACATTTCATTATAAATATAAAAAATCTAAAATGTAATTATGATAATCATTAAGTTCTAATATAATCATTATCTTTATAAAAATTATATTGTCAAGGCAAAAATAAATTATTTCGTTATTAAATCTAAATTAAATTATAATAAAAAAAATTTATTAAAGAAATTGTACAAAAAAGTAGAACTTTTAAATAGTTAATTTGATATTAATATCGATATATTTTTTCAAACTTTATGATATCTTCAAATTTATTTTTATTCAAAAGTAAAACATTATCTTTCTGAAAACCAAACAAACTGTATTCTATTAACAGAGACAAAAAAAAAAACGAAACATTAAAATAAAGATGTACCCACTGCATTGTGCGAGTACCATTCTAGTAGTTAAAAAAAATATAAAAGCAGTACTAAGATATGATAATTTTTAAAGTTTCTAGTTCAATTAATAAAAGGTTATTACTTGCTACTTTATGTTTCAATTGAGTAGAATCACAAATTTCATACTTAAATATTTTATTCGTATTAAAATAAATGTTCATAATGAAAAATGTATATAATTTTAAAAATATGAAATTATTATACTTTTTAATTAATAAAAAAACTTGTATAAAGGGTATAATAGGAAATTAGAATTTTACTTTTAATAAGGTTTATTTGACGAAGTATTGATAATAAGCATTAAATGCCAAATTTAACATCAAAAGTGTCAGGATGGCCGAGAGGTCTAAGGCGCCAGACTCAAGTTCTGGTCTTCGTGAGAGGGCGTGGGTTCAAATCCCACTTCTGACATATTTAATTATATTTTTTCTTTTCATATTTTAGCCCCTTAACTTTGGTTTAATTTCTATTTAAGTTATACCTAACTTTTTGTAATGTACATTTAGTCCCGCAACTCTTGTTCAATCTCTATTTGCATCCCTTAATTTTTTTAACACAAGGACTAGAAACATTTGTGTTTTCTTCCTGACGCTATTGTAAGACCATGAGTAATGGACATGACATCATCAGGATTAATTAGTTATTGTATATATTTCTCTTGACAATTAATTACTTGAATAGTCAAGTAACACTATTAAATGAATACTAAGAGCATCTCCAACTGCTATTATATTCATGAAAAGTTTGCTCTAAAAATTATGTTAAAACTATTATTTAAAACATAAAAAAATAGAAAAATCTCGAAATTAAAAAAGAAGAAGAAAATATATAGTATATTTATTAGAGATGCTCTAAATAGTCGGATAATAAGGTCAATCATAGTTTAATTGGTATCAATATAATAATAATGTCAAGATTATACAACAAATATTGAAATATTAAAAAAAATAGTCTAGTAATTAATACAGATTCAACTAATTAAATAATTGACTTAAATCAAATCTTTCATATTACTTTGAAAACTCAAAATAAAAACCAAATTAGAACCAAATCTACGTTTCAATTTTTACTATTTTTGGGTCACATGAAAATCACTTTTAAATAAAGAAATAAAAAACCATTGGTCAAAGGTCGTGAATAAATTGATAAGGTTGGAAGAAAATTCAATAATCATAAACACACATGTGATTCCAATGAAATCGGTATTATTAATTGTTTTTTATAACGATTTAAAACATTAAGTTATAATTATTTTAATTAATTAATTAATAGTAACAAAAACACATATACAATCATATCTAATACTTTCTATAAACTAAAAATATGTAAATAAAATAAATCAAATCACGTATTTAAAACGAAAAGTTGGATAACAATACAAATACACAATTACTGAAAAGGGTCTTTTTATTTCCAAATGAAACCTTGTACTTTAAACTTCTTGCATTCAGCCCCTTGAATATTTAATGTTTCTGAATTTGATCTGATTTCTACAATTATTTACATTCTGATCAATTAATTACCAAGTCAAATGTCGGTTTAAATTTCAAACAATCGTAGTTTGTTAGTTTTGATGATGATAACTACGATCATTTCTACTCAAAAATAAAATAAAAATAATAATAATAAAAGAAATAATGTATCTTGGATAAGAATAAGGGGCCGTTTACAAAACACTTACCCGGTAAATGCTTACTGGTAAAATTTAACACTATTATTTACGTATCGAGTAAGATTTTAATCCACCAAAACGACATAGTATGCAACACTTACCGTGGTAAGAGTCTGTCGCCCTCACTTACCGGGTAAGATTTTTAGTCCTTACCATATTCATCTGGTGAGGTAACATGACTTGGTAAGTACTTACTCGGATAAGTATTATATCATGATAAAGTTTAATAACAATGGAAGAGATCACAATTAGAATTTTAAAATAAAACTTATTTTATTATAATTAAATATTGGATAATTTATAATAAATGGAATTATAAGTAAGATCATAACGGATTAATTAAATATCGAAGTAGTTTCCTTATCAACTTTCCGTATCTGAAATAAAAGGTAACAAATCATACGGATGGATTACTTACGATTCTTCCATACCACACTATATATATATATATATAACCATCAACCTTCAACATATGATTTATCGAATACACCATAACTCCTCATTCTTCTTTTAATTTCTCTTCGTTTTGGTTTTCGGGTATTGCTTGATCATGGCTAACGGTGTCGAAGAATCGGACATCTCAGCGATGGAAAAAGGCGATCTCCCTTTGATGGTCTCGACAGATCCTAAAATCAATTTAGCTCAAAAGGTATATATATGTTGAACGATTATCTTGAATATTTTGCAATGTGTTTATATCGATCGTTTAATAATCATATCGACTAATTTTTATTTGTTATGTTGTATAGTTGTTAGCGGAGTTGATCGGTACATACTGCGTCATCTTTGCTGGTTGTGGATCGGTGGCCGTTAATAAACTTTACGGTGGCACTATAACTTTTCCGGGAATCTGTGTGACTTGGGGTTTGATCGTTATGGTCATGATTTATACCGTCGGCCATGTCTCCGCTCACTTTAATCCTGCCGTCACCATCACTTTGTCTCTCTTGGGTTTGTTTCCGTTTAAAGAGGTATATATTTAATTTATTGATAGGTTTTATTTTAAAGGTGCTATTAATTAATTTTAGTTATTGTTTTTTATTTGTATTTTGCGTTCTTTGAGTCTAATGATATATGAATCTTTATATATTTGTAGGTGGTGTTTTACATAATATCGCAGCTGTTGGGGTCGATTCTTGCGAGTGGAACGATATCGTTGATTATGAATGTTACTCCGGAAGCCTTTTTCGGAACGACGCCGGCTGGCTCAGCCGCACAATCGTTCGTTGTTGAAATCATTATTACGTTCATCTTAATGTTTGTTATTTCGGGTGCTACTAATGATCATAGAGCCGTATGTTTTCTTTTTAATTTCGTTTTACAATTAGTTATTTATTTAATTATCGAATTCGTAACTTTTATATATAAAAAAATTTAATTGAAATTGCAGATAAAGAAACAAGGCGGGATTGCAGTTGGGATGACTATCATGTTAAATGTCTTTGTGGGAGGGTAATTAATTACTCTTATTTTAAAGTAATTAAATTAAATTATATTTTCTGAAATTGAATTTAATAATTTATTAATTCAGGCCGATTTCTGGAGCATCGATGAATCCGGCAAGAAGTCTTGGACCGGCTATTGTGAAGCGTAACTTCAAAGGAATTTGGGCTTATATCTTTGGTCCGATCATCGGAGCATTGGCCGGAGGATTTGTTTATAATTTGCTCAAGCCGACGACCAGATCTTTTCACGACTTTCTGAAACGAACTCAGTGAATTATTCTTCAAAGACGAGACGTTAAAACAGTTCCATTTATTAAGTTCTTTATGTTTTTAGACCTTTCAATTTGTTGATTTTAGTTTTTTGATTTAATTGTGGTGAGTGTACGGATAATGTTTTAGTTTTTCAGTTTATTCATATTGAAATTTATGTATGGTATTGGTATATGAAGTTGTATATAAAGATCTTATGAATCCCGGATTTATATATATTTTTGGTGTTTATCGAATTTAATGGATTTCAATTATTTAAATATTATAAATTATTAATTTTTGAAAAGAGATAATTATATCAAGTATCGTTAATTCATATTATGGCTGTTTTGGTATACCTTTTAAAGCACCACATTTATAAAAATCAAATGGTAATCATATTCAATACATACTCATCCTTAACAATATTTCATTAATATCTGATCTTTTAATAAATAAAAAGAGTATATTAAGTTTTAGGGGCCGTTTGTCAGGCACTTATTCGGGTAAGTGAACATCAAGTTACACTATCTTACCGCTCGGATAAATATGGTAAGGACCAAGAATCTTACTCGGTAATAGCGAGACAAAGAGCAAGGGTCTTACCTGGTAAGTGAGGGCGACGACTTTTACCACGGTAAGCGCTTACCGGGTAAATTGTTGCATACGATACTGTTTTGGTGAACTAAAATCTTACCTGGTAAGTAAAATTTTACCGAGTAAGTGTTTGATAAACGGCTCTTTAGTTCTCGATTAACAGTAAAAATAAAAATTTATATTGTGGGTTGCATTCCATGGTAGAATACTAGTGAGTCAAAAGAAGTCAATCTTGTAAAAAGCAAATAGAATGTAAAGTAAACTTAGGCTAGGATTTGCAAACTAACTGATAAGATAGTTGGTAACTGATAAACAAATTATGTTTGACAAAACTAGTTGATAAGAATATAAAATGATGTACTATGAAAAATTGAAAAATTGAAGTAAAATGTCATTTACCAAACGTTTATCCGGGTAAGTGTTCATCAAATCAAATGACTTTACCGGATGAATATGGAAAAGACTAAAAATCTTACCGCCAAGAACAAAGGTAAGAATCAAGATTTTTACCGGGTAAGTAAGGACGACAACTCTTACCATAGTTAGCGCTTACCGAGACAAATTGTTGCAAACGATGCATTTTGATGAATAAAATCTTACTTGATAAGTAAACGATAAAATGTTAAATTTTACCGGTAAACGCTTACCAAGTAAGTGTTTAGTAAACGGCAGTGAAAATCAAAATTGATAACCTTCAAATGACCTTAGAAGTAAAACCACAAGAAAATTAGTATGTAAATCATCATCAAAATTGGCACAAGCTAAACAATGAGATCACAATCTTAAAAATAGTAACAAGTTATTTTCTACTAAATTTTGAGACCTATTCATCAGCTTCAGTTCTACTTCTCTTCTTCTTCTTCTTGGAATTGCCACTTTCATCCCCCTCAACCTCTGCATTCTTCCTCTTCTTTTTCTTCTTCTCTTTCACAATCTCATTATCTTCTTCAAACACCCCACTTTTCCCCAAACCACCCTTCTCTTTCTTCTTCTTCTTCTTCTTCTTTTCGAGTTTACCTTCAACGTCGTTCTCCTTTTCCTCAACCGGATCATGGTCAAATTTCCTGTTTACCCCACCACCATTTTCTAGTACCCTCACCTCATCTTCTTCTGAATTTCTAGGCTTTACATCAGATTTGGATGAATCTTCTTCCATTGGCTGATGTTTCTTCCGCTTGTGGTGCTTTCTAAAGGATACAAGTTCGTTAAATGCTGTACTAGTACGCCGGAGGTAAGTAGACACCGATTGAGAAGCGCCATTGTCGGAGTTCACAAAATTCGACAAGATACTGGCTGCTTTCGAGATATTGACTGGCTTAGAAGATATAATTGTTCCAGAAACAGTCTTCATCTGAATCCGAGAAAATGCCCACATAAATGAAAATAATACAAAACAACACAAGATTAAATATAATGAAATAACTCGACAGAAGCTTCAAATGACTCATGGGTTCATCAACGGGATATAGTAGTTAGTAGCATAGCAATGATAGTAGGGTTTTCTCGGAAAATTAAGAGTAGATGGTCAACTGAAAACGAAATGCAACAACTGTGGCAGCCATCTGTAAGTAAATTGAAACTGGTCCAGGATTACAATTTTAATGCAATTAGGATTACTGTTTTATGTAAAGAATATGCTCTGTGTTAATGATAAAATGGTTATAACTTATAAATCACATAGTGCCTCTACTTTTGAATTGCTAAGACAATGGCAAGAGATCAATTATTTCCTCAAAATTTTGAGGGCAGTCCAAGGGCATAGATAAATCATGCAGCAACAAAAATATAATTATGAAACCTAATGATGGAGGATGAACGAAACGAATACAACAGAGTATGCAAAGACCGCCATTAACCCAAATTACAGACCGGAAAAATACAATTAAAGGGATCCCACCCAGTTTTAGATAGAATAATCTAATAGATAAAGGAAGGTAAAACCATAAGGGAAGGGATGAACCTGGAATCGGTTTCAACGAACAAAATGATCAAATAGATCAAGAATTGGCTCCTTTCATGAGAATCTCTTTTGGTACTGTTGTTGTACTCATTCAAGCATGCCTAATAGACATTTGAGAGGGGGGCCAGCGGGTTTGAATGGAAGGAAGGAGTTGACAGAAGGGACAGGGTTATGGCTTCCTTTCTGAACTTTGGGGGTAGTTTGAATTCAAATATATTCAGTATTGGTAGGAAAATTGGTCTTCAGCCTATTGTGTTAGTGTTATTTTGGTGCTTGAGCGGAAGCTATTTGTTAAAATAATTTCAGGCTTCACCCTGTATTCGGTTCAGCAAGGATGGATACTCTTGGTTATTTCAACTTTTGAGAATGGGGGTAAAAGTACTTGGGAAAACAGAAGGTATTCCTTCACCTTGTAAGATCCATTCGGAATCAAGTGAATGCTCCTAGAGTTGCTTATTGGACTATTGTTAACGTCGTCTGATATGAGGATGTGTATAATATTGACATGTAATCAGGGGCGGAACCAGGACTGTTGATCAGGGTGATCCCCTCTCAGGGTGGAACACAGGGGTAAGACCCTGAAACTGATCTTTTATGTTGTTCGGTTCAATGTTTCTCTCGTCAAGGTTTTAAAAAGTGGAATCGGTCCTTGAGGCGTTTTCTCTCAATGAGGCAAGGCGAAAGCCTCAAGGCAGATACATATATATATATATGTACACATACACACACACAAAGTGGGAGACTGGAGAAGAAATAAGATATATATACACACACATATCTATCATATACTCTTCAAAATGGGAAATTGGAGAAATGGGAAATAAAATAAACATACGTGATGCTCTTCAAATTGGGAGACTAGCAAAGACGTCGGAGATGAAACTAAGAGCAAGAAAATTGGTTTATTTATAAAAAGTGAAATTAGCAAGTCAATTTCTAAACCCTAATTTCTAACCCCGCCTTAGGCGCCTCAAGGCCTGCCGCAGTGGCTCGATGCATACCGCTCAACTAACCCACGAGAGGCGCTGCCTCAGACTCGATTTTCCAGCACCACGTCTCAAGGCGTAAGCCTAGAGCACTTTTAAAACCATGACTTTCTTCAGTGTTCCAATCTGGTTTAAAACCATTGAAAACTGGAAAAGGTTTTCTATTCAATATGCTACCGAAAAATTGAATGCTAAGAAAATTTTCAATCCAATACCTAAATATCACCCCTAATCTTGATTGATAATTTCTACCTAAAATTCAGAACTATAAACTCCAAATCAACAGAGGTTAAATGTACAATCAACACTTAGTAGTATAATAACCATTTTCTAATCTACAATGAACACTTGGCTGTTAGCAATTTAGCTGTGGGGTTAAATGTAAGAAAATACAAATAATCACTCAGCATTAGTGTTAAAAAATATAGCAATAGTTAATTAAGTAATGCAATGTTCTGTTGTGTTCAAACAAATCAAGGTGAAAGTTAACTTAGGGTTTACTTTATCTTGATTCTTATTTTTTCAATCGGTAGTCTAGTAATAGCAACTATCCCCAGTGATTAGCAACTAGCAATTAGGCAAATAGCAACAACGGAAGAAATTATTACCAATATGAGAAAAGAGGCGTATTTGACGGCAATCGGGAGCTCAGAAGCAAACAGAGGCAGCTTTGAAGGCAAGTGGGAACTCAGAAGCAGATAACCACAGGGGCTGAGAGGGAGCTCAGCTGGTTAAGCTGTAATCGTCGAGATGGAGGCAGGGAGCTGGTTCTGGTCGACTACGACGGAAACCAGGGTAAACTCATGGTGCGTTTGGTTTGCAGCAATGTTTCTGAGGGATTTGGATTCCTGAAGGGATTTGGATTCCTGAAGGGATTTGGATTTCATGGGATTTGGATTGGATTGGATTTAAAATCCATTCCTGTGTTTGGTTTGCAGGATTTGGATTTGATTTGAAATYCATTCCTCTGTTTGGTTTGTAGGATTTGGATTTGATTTGAAATCCATTCCTCTGTTTGGTTTGTAGGATTTGGATTTACATTTTTTTTTTAATCACCAAATCTCTTTCATTTTCTTAAATCTATCTATTTAACCAACAAACCTACAAATTTAACAATCAAACATTTTCATCCATAATGCATATTTAATCAACAAACATTTTCAAAATACATATATATATATTTGATATTAACATTGATATACACATTTAACTACCAACTTGTTCTTTCAAAACCACATATTTACCCAC